CTGGAAGGCTGGAGGCGGGTGGACTTGAAGTGAGGTGCCCGGCCTTGCTGCGCCCTTCATCTGTTTCTCGTTTCAGGAGACGAGCGTCACTTTGGGAACCCAGACTCCTTGACTCGGCCCCCTATAAAAGCATGTCGATCGTCAGGTAGGTGTTGACTTGGAGAGGTTACCACGCACACCACTTGCAAAGGTTCAAATGCACAAGACCCGAGGAAATGGGGTTTGTTGGGGTTTAGCTCCTTTGCAGGATTTACTGTGGTTCTGGTGTACAGGTGAGGAAATCCCGCGGCGTTTTTTATTCCATACATAAAGAGAGGGGGAGGGCTTGTCTGCCTTCCAAAAGGATCTGTAGAGCACGCTGAAGCCCTTAGGTGGCTGTTTTACCTAGTGCATCACTTAGAATAGTATTTTGTCACCGCATTAAAATGGGGAATAACTGATTTTACTAACGCTGCTTGGTTTTTAAAGGCTGAATTTAAATAAAGTATCTTGAGCTGTGGAAATAGATTGCTGTAAGACTGCTCCATACAGTGAGCAGCATTGCTTATGGGGAAGTGCATAGTTGGGGCTTGCCTGTCCTTTCTCTGAAGCACCAAGCATACATTGGTACTTGCTCTTGGACACTGTTGTGGTAGCCTGCGTGGCACCTTCTTGTTTCTTTAGTTGATGAAAATTTTATTCTTCTCAAAACTTAGATGCTAACTTTGTGTAATACAGTCATGTGGCTTTAGCCTGTCATTCCATCAGAAAACTGCAAGCAAATTGTATTTCCTTCCCCTTTAGTCTGTTGGTCTATTTTGAGTTGGACTGTATTAGTATGGGGCAATTCTTATGTGGATGAGTTGGGCTAGCCTGAGACCATTCTCCATTCCCTTCTGTATTCTTGTGACAGGGCTGTCACCACACTGTCATTACAGCTGCAGTGCAGTGGCCCTAATTATGTGGCATGGCCCTAATTATGTGGCATTGCCCTTGAAAAGGGCTGCCAATATTACGTTTCAGAAGCAGAATTTCTAGGAGGCATGGAAAAATCTTATCTTGAGGGAGGAAGAGAGAGGTTATGAGTATTTCTTTGGGAAAGTACAAAGGTTTATCTGTAACAAAAGCTGTGGGAAGCTGTTACTCCCAAACGATGGCTAACAGGGTACTAACATGCTTGGTATTTTAAATGTGGCTGGGCTGCTTTAGGAAGTACAGCTGAGTGGTTGGTAATGTAGACATCTCTAAAAATGTGGTTGGAGGGAGAGATGTCTTCCCCCACCTCCTCAAGCTCTTAACAGTGGTATTTGACTATAGTCACTTTAGGCGTAAAAGTAGGATGTGAATAGACCCTAATGCTGTATACAGGAGCGAAGGAGTAATTTCCCCTCTCACAGTCCTCCCACCTGTAGTTACACAGTATTGGGTTTTTTTCTGCAGAGTTTAGGCCAGACCAGGGGGAATACAGCGTCTGTGAGGCAGCGGGACAAGCAGGGTGGATTTTTATAAGGATGTAATTGTCATGCTTCCCTGAGAGTAGAATGGAAGCAAAACCACAACTTGAGAAACTGGTTTCTGGCTTCTGCTTAGAGGTTTTAAATATAGATTAGGAAACTTGCTTCTAGAGCTAAAAAGCTTTAAGAGCCTGCAGTGCCTTGAACCAGGCATCTTCTAGATCAACAAGCTAAAGCAATCTCCGTTGAAGTTGTCTTAAAACATGCAAGTAGAGTATATGACTGTACGAGTTAAAGGCAGGCGCTAGGTGTTTTTGGCACTCGTTTGTGGTGTCTGTAGTTTCTGTGGAACATTGCAGCAAATTTGTCGCAGACTTATCTCTGTGTTGAAAAAGATTAAACCCACAGGGATAGATATGTACCAGATTTAAAAGAACAAGTTCCACTATGTTAAAACAGTGGCATTGTATTTTGGTTTATAAACCTGTAGTTTAAGAACTCACAGATTTCTAATCCCTTTGACTAAACCAGCGTATGAAATGGGGATAGTAAGAAAATCGCTTTCTCTTGGCAGGTGACCGTGCAGAAGGTGGCTGGCTAGCAGATTTAAGGTGGATTGGAAAATCCTCACTAACTGCCTGGGAGGCAGGACTGATCCTTTGGGTAGGAGGCTTAAGGCCTTGTAAGGGAAGAACAGGCATGTTTGGACTGTGATTTATATTTATATATATATTTAGGAAAGTTAAACTTCATAAAAGGGGAGTTTACTTTTTTCTGTAGGGGGTACCATGTGTGCTGTCTGCTTGCACATGTGTGCTTGCCTGTTGGCGATACCCACTGTTACAGAAGGTGCTGATTTTCACAGCTGTCTTCATGTGAGAAATGAAGTTGGGTGTGTTTACATCTCTCCTTTTTACAACAACTTTCAAGAATGCTTTGAGAGACATAGAGTACCGATTGATGCAAAGAAGGGGAGAGGAATTAAAAAGTATGGAGTGCATGAGTAGCAGTCCATCTCTTTAGATTCATAGATCTTTCTGGTCTTTTGATTACTAGCCACCGCTGCTAGTGAGATTTTCCTTGCAAAACCTCAG